AAACAAATTAAATTTTTTTTCTTTAGAGTAGAACTAGAGCCAGAATAGACTATATTAATTTTGATTTATTTTTTTAATTGTTAATATTTATGAGGTAAAGCTGAATAAAAATATTGCTATGTACTGAATTAACTCTTCTGCAATTTTGGAAAAAACCTCTACTATACAGAGTTAAGGAATACCAGATAGAATTGCAGAAAAAATGCTCTTTTCTTAGCACTTCCTTTTTTGAAGCGGTAAAGTAAAAGTTAAAGTGAAGTAGTTTAATTCCCCTTTAATCAGAAAACTTTTCTGTAGATTAATACCGTAACATCAAAAGCCACTACATTATATACAATATCATGAAATAATGTTTAATTATCTTGTAATTACAATGACATACCGTTTTTATTGAAAATTTTTTTAAATGCTGAGTATAAAAAACGTATTTTAAATAATTTAATTATAAATTTATTAGTTAACGCAATAAATTTAATTGTTTTAATTCAATAAAATACATATATACTGCTTTTTTATCGTAAAACGCTTTTTTAATAAACCGATTCGTTATATACGTATTAGATTGATTTCGTTTAATTATAATTATTCAATAATATTAAATAAAAATGTAGTAATAACTTTGGAATGCAGGATTTTATTACTTAAATTCTTTATGTAGACATATATAATATAAACATACTTATTATACATAAATTTCGTAGCGCATGAGTCTGTACATTATCGCAGCAACTCGCCTTAGCATGAAAATATTGTATTATTTCATAAAATGCTATAAAGCAAGATACTATAAATAAGGGGATTAAAGAACCAGAAAGAAAATGTCTACGGGCAAATCAATTTTGAGTAACTACCTGTACTTATATACAAGTGATTAAAACAACACCTTCCCGCATTTGCTTGCAACACCCCTAATCCACATGCCATTCCACACAATTTCACCGCAATTTAAAGACAAAAGATGCCAAGACCTTAAAGATACAATTGATGCCAGCAAACAATAAATCAATCCTTTACAAATAAATAAGTCGTAGATATGCATAAATTTTATAGTGTATATCTAATTTGAGTTTATGGCAAGCAAGCACTGAGCGTAAACGAGTATTTGCAATTGTTGCTTTATTAAACCCTAAATGGGAAAAAGAAGATGAACGTCGTCCATGGTACATGTCGATGGTACAACGTTCTCTGTGAGTGTTGCCAATTTGCAATAACATTACGATGCAACCAATCTACATACAACGAAATCCAAATTTTTTATGCCAAAAATCTGCTGAAGTTCACACAATTTGGTCATTTTTATAATTAAGTTTAATTAATTCGACCCAAATAAATGACGATTAAATTCGTTGCTTGTAGCGTTACGGACTCTACACAAATTGTTATAAATAATGCACGAAACCTTAAACCTTATTTCGACTACAGGGAAGATTATCATTAATTATACACATTACAGTTGAAATGTATCGATTTTATATTTAAGAAGTTTTTATGGTTTTTTTTTCGATTTTTTGATAAACGAATAAGTTATTTAAAGCAAGCGTTAAGTACGTTTCCACTGACTTCGTTAATCGTGTTAACTTACTTGAGGTTGAAGTAATTCAAGCAAACTCAAGTAAGTTAACTGGTCTAACGAAGTCAGTGGAAATATATTATTACTTATTTTTAGTCTTTATTTATTTTCATATTAAATCAGTCTTATTTCACACATATCTAGATTAAGGTTTGCATAACTGCAACAAAGATACTTACAGTCAAGTCCTTCAAAAATGTTACAATAGGTCTTATTATTTATTATTTTAATATGTATTCAAAAGCTGGGTATTTAAGTGGGCTTTATATTTAACCATACCTAGCCCACCTATTTAAGTAACGGTTTAAAAAACAATTATTAAACACCTATATAACACATCAGTCAATAATACGGGTGACTAACTAAGAAAAACAAATTTTTTCTGCCAAAAATCGATTTCACTCATCAATATAATCCTTCAAGGGCAATACAATCATTCCAACGCTTCTCTTACTTCTCGATGCCGTGCTTGTAGAAGGATTTGCCTTTTACCTCAAAATAGGCTTCAGTTGCAGCAATTACTTCTTCATTTGAGATGAATTTCTTACCGGCGAGCATTTTTTTAAGATCAGCGAATAGCCAGTAGTCGCTGGGGGCTAGATCTGGACTATACGGTGGATGAGGAAGCAATTCGAAATTGTTTTGAATCCATTGTTTTGAAAATAACAAAAGTAGCTTCACTTAAACGGCTGTCACTTTTTGCTGACTAATCGAAATGTCATGAAATTTTACACATAGTCTTTTGAAGGTTGGTACTTCATAAAAGTCATATAGATTTGACAATGATAGCGCCATCTGTGTGTCAGTCGTACGACTTATTGACTGATGTATTATTTAAATTCAGATCACCTTAATCTTTTAGTTCTGCAGATAATACTAAATAACCAACAAGTATTGGCTTATTGAGAGTTCTGTGTTAGGTCATAATTATTTTTTAATCGGACTTTTTTTATATTTTTCTTAATTCTTTTTTTTTTGTTTTTATTTATTTTACTATTATTTTATTTTTCGAAGAATAAGGCTGGTCAGACCTTTTACTAATATAATAAATTCCTTTAGACTGATACGAAATGATAGACCTGCCGTCCTGTTTCCTAAAGATTATCCTGTTTAATTCAACTTATGTGCCGTGATATCTGGTAAATATGCCCTGGCTATTTATTCAGAGGTCCTTAAAATAATTTACAATTCATTTTATAATTCATTGTAGTATTTACATATAAAATAATTTATATTGTAATGTTATTAAATTTTTAAGATTGTATAATGTATGGTTAGGCTTTAAATAAAACCGATTCAATAAAAACATCGTTAAATAAAAGAAAAAAAAATTATTTAGTTTTATTTTATATTAAATTGGTTTTTAAGGTCCGTTTTGATAATAAAACCTAGTTTATTAATATAAATTATAGAGAGGTTTTTATCGAACAGTAGCAAAATTGCAACAACAAAACTTTTTTTATTATTTTTAATTAATTGAATTTATGACAGACCATACATCTGTATTTATTTTATTTTATTTTATTTTATTTTATTTTATTTTATTTTATATTAAATTGATTTTTAAAGTTCGTTTTGACGAAAAAACTAGATTATTTATATAAACTATTGTTTTTAAGATAGAGGTTTTTATTGGCAGACTATACAGCTGTATGTATTTTATTTTATTTTATTTCTATTTAATTTATTTTATTTTGTTATATTTTATTTTATTTTATCTTAATTGAATTTATTTTATAATATTGTATGAAAATTATATCTAAAAACAGTAGCTGCAATATTTTTTCATTTCTCATTAAATATTATCAAATTTTATTTCTTTAAGCTTTGATTGGATTGTAAAGTGACACCTTTCAATTTTATTTACAAATATATATATATATATAAGGTAATCTTTCCAAGAAAAAAAAAATTTTCCTCAAAAAAGACAGAATATTGTTTCCAAAAAATTAACTATAGTAGTTTAAGTACTTTTTCCTACTATATTTTATTAGAAACTTATTTTATAATGTTGGAATATAATAAGAAAGCATATTTTTTTTATTACATTAAGTGACATATGAAAATGCAATATATTTTATTGTGTATGTTATGTTATAAAAATATATAAATACATTATTTATTTACTTATTATTTATTAAAAAGTCTTAAATTTTTGTGATAACCATTAGGTTATGACTTAACAACAGAAGAACAAGACAAATGAACCACTACACAATTTTTAAGTATCCTTTTTTCGGTAATTATTTTGTCATTCTCACATGGACTTTTCACAGTTATATATACCTTTTATTGTTTTTTTATAGTCTTTAACGTACTTTTAAAAAATATTAATAAATACAAAATTTCGATAAGTTATGGACATGTTTTTTTTTATGGTTTACTAGTTTTTCGTATCAATAGTCATATGGCACAGCTGTAAAACTTATAAAAACAAAGCAGTAAAACTTGAAATTGTCATCTGTTTGCCATTTTACAAATAATCTTTGAGAAATAAAAATTTCTTACAAATTGTACACTTTTTGTCTCAATATTTCCGTTTAATACCTAAAATAATTACAAATATTACAGCAGCGCTATTATAAAGCGGATATCCCATAGAGTGCAAGTCGTCAGACAAGTCCAAGAAAATTTCTTAAGATGATGCATGCATGCATGCAGCATCGGTCATGTAGGATGGATGCTATTTGCCAATTGAATGAGCACAAACAAGATACAAGATACAAGATACAGACAAGTTATTTTTTCTCACATTAATAAACGAGGCATTTTGTGTAAATTTATTAATAGTTAGGAATTTTAAAAACAATTATGTAGCGAACAAAAACTAAAACAAAAATTTGCATATCTTTCAAATCCAGTGGAACATCGGGAAAATTTGACCATTTCTCACTTTTGCTACAAGCATTTTTAAGTGATAATTACCAACAATAGTTTCAATAACTGCTTTTACCTCACCTATTCAAGCATAAGTGTAAGGGTTAAGAGCGGAAAAACGATTATGTCTAGACTTTAGATACTTTATTGTGGTCTTACAAGAAATTAGCGCATTCGAAAACTTTCAATATTAAGTACTTTGAGAAAAAAATTGTACGATACTTTTTTTATATCCCTATTTACATAATCGTAAATATCTATTTCGAACACTATTCTACTGCATACTTATTATGCTACAGATATGCTTAAGGTCTGTATAAAAATTTAATTATAGTTTTTCATTATTTCTCTTTAATTTAAATATTCATATATAGAACGTATAGTACATAAACTGAACACTATATTAAATATATATATGTGCTCTGTATATTTAACATTGCATTATATCCTTTAATGAATATATACATCATTTTGATAAATATATAAAAAAAAACATATATTTATTATATAAATAATAATTACATTATTTAATTAAAAATATTATTTCACTTACCTGTCTGACTTGTTTGTACTGTTCTTCAAAACTCCAGCCATTATTTTGCTGTGATGAATTAGAAGCCTCACTTGATGTGGAAGAATTTGAAGCAGGATTTACTGAATAAGCAACAAAAAAAAAACAAAATAAATACCAAAATATTGGTTATTACGTATATAAAGAAAAATAAAAACTATATTGTATAATTGAAAATACTAAAAAGAAAATTCATCAAAATCCAAATAACACATAGACTCATAAATTACAAAAACTTCAGACATAACATATATTTATTACCAGTGACTGTGAGAAATACCAATAATGTCAGCATAAAAATTAACTGACTGGAAACAAAGATAACTCGCCTAGAAATCTAATCATAGTCAAATCAATTGTCTTATAAAATCATTGCAAAAAGTGGCAACCTTTGTTACCTTGGCAACATAGTACTAACAGACGAAGTAACAGCTAACTAAATCATAGCACTTAATTACAAACCTAACTATACATAAAATAAAAAAACCTGATTCTTGTATGCTCTCCAAAGAACTTAAGATCTTCAGAATGAAGATCAAAACAATTCTTTCCTTCGTCTTAAAGCCTTGTAAGGTTACTAAATACAATAACTACCAAATCAATATATTTTTTATACACCTTGATTCTTCATTCTTATGTGCTCTTCCACATCATACCAATCTCAAAATCTTCAATATGAAAATTAAAGTTATACCTACATCAAATACATAATAACATATACCAAATATTACGAAAAGTTACCGTTACGAATAGTAAGCAGTCAATATGTCCGCGTAATAAGCCGTACAGAAGAAAATTATATAGAACATAGTAATGTGGAGTCATAGACTATCTACTTCGGAAAGAAGATTCATAGCGAAAATAGTGCATATAGCGAAAATAATATTTTCAAAATATCTCTTGAATGCAACTCTCAATATTTTCGTAAACATGATCCCACTTATTCCACTTGGGGTAGATTTATTATTACAAAACATAGTCAGCTTGGATCGTGAGAAGAAATTTGATGAAACGTTTCTTAGAAATAAGTAAAACAGTGGTAATAAAATAAAATGAACCCTACTTTCAAAGTAGCATTATTAGAAATATTTACAAGAAGCTCAAGCACGGCTTTTTGGGTAGGAACAATTTTAATCATAACTATATGATATTAAAATTATTAGAAGGTTTTTCAATATTTTCAGATAGCAAAGCTACCATTAAAACATTGGTAGGCACTTAAACCACATCAATTATAACTCAAAACTGTGACGCTGCCCACAATGACTTAGCTAGGCATGTCAGGGTCCAAATCATGTGGGTTTCTGTTTATAGGGATATCTCAGGCAATTGTAGGGCAGACGAGCTTGCCAAGGCAGGCACTCTTCATCCTTATATTCACTTCTGAGATATTAGCGTTTCACTTGCTACATTTAAACTGGCAATTAAACGAAAATACCTGAACATAGTTAAGTAACACGGAACTGACGAATACCGCTGTCAAAACTCTAGCTTGATCTGATCTAATTTGGCAAAAAACACACCAGTCAGCTACTTTAACTAAGTCGGAATCTGCTCAGCACTACACTACTGTGGCTGACGGGTTACTGTATAATAGAGTGGCATACCAGAGATCGAGTCTTCCTTATAATGACTTTTGTCGCAGTTGTGGCTCTGAGGATGAGAAGGAAACTGAGTTCCATCTTTTGTGTCATCTTTAGCTATCAGAGGATCAATAAAGTCAATAAATAAAATTGTCAGGTTGATATATGTTAGCTTTACTTAATGGGGGAGTCGTTGCCTTTTTTGGCGTTGGTCGTATACTAATCTTTAAGTCTATGTACGAACCAACGATTTTCCTGTGGTATCACATCAGGCCATTATTTAACCTCAAGTGGACTTTCTTGTTACAAAGCGCCACTTCAACATGAGTTAACCTACTAGGAGTTTATTTGAAATACATAGAGAATCGTTATATTATCTAGACGTATGTATATACTGAATATATACTTCATAAAAGCCATTAAAACTTCATGTGTATAACGTGCAGTCTTCAAGTTAAATGTGTTACGCAGCTAATAGGTCAATGTTCGATTTTTAAATGTGCCATAAGTACTTGCTTAGAGAGGTCACCGCTTGAAATTAAATTCCCTTATATACTAAATGCCCAAATCTGGTTAATACTGGTAAAATGTTTAATATAAATAATAGAAAAGATTCTACAGTTTTTTGTCACTAGATGGTACTTGTATAACTGGAAACATTATCAAGTGTTTAGAGGAATTGGGATGAAATTATATTTAATGCACTCCTCCCCTCCGTCTAATGCAAAAATTAATTCGATTCCTGCCATTCAAACACTTTAACGAAACCATCAAGGAAAAGCGACCAGAATTAATCAACAGAAAACCAAAAGGTGTTGTGTTTATCATGGCAGTGCCAGGTCACAAACATCTTTGATGGGTAGTTTTAATGCTTCTATCGTATAGCCAGGACTTTGCACAATCTAACTAACATTTATCTAAGTCTATGTAAAATTTTTTTAATGGTAATAAATTGTCCGAACGAAGAGTTGCCTCAAATCACTTTGTCAAGTTTTTCACCGATAAACTATAAAAGTTTTTTACATATGGAGCTATTTGGGAACTCGAAAAATAGATTTAGATCATAAATAATAATAACGAATATATACTTGATTAAAATTGTTTTTCAAATAACAAATTTTTTATTCAAAAAGGGACCCCAGATTCTTTTTATATCATTCAAAACAATTAGATCGAACTCGTTTTTATCGATATACTAAATTGATAATCTTTTTAAGAGTTTTTTTTATATTCTTTAATCTCTAATTTTAATATAAAAATATTTAAATAGTTCGATTTAACCTAACAAACCTTATGTATGTTAGATGTTAAGAATTAAATATATAAAATTTGACTTACCATCTCTTGAACTGGGTGCCGTTGGTGACGTAAAGGAAAAACTGTTACCGCCATTGGATAACGCTGAGCTTGTGGCTGAAGTGCTTGTGGAATTTTGTGAACCTAGATTACCATTAGACATGCTGTTGCCAGCTGAGGGTGCAATATTTGGTGCGGCGTGACCAAACGAAGCTATTGTGGTGGGTGGTAAAGTAAATGCGGTGTTAATAGGTGTTGGTAAAACATTTGCACCAAAAGCAGCAGCATGGGCTGCATAATCTTGTTCCTAAAATGATGATAAAAATATGGTAAGATATATGGTAAAGTCAAATACTATATTATGTATTTTATATTATTACAAATATTTTAATAAATTTATAATAAATAAATAAAAAAAAATAAAATTTTTACCATAAGTCCAACTTTCATATCACGCACTTGCATTTTCAATTTTTCTAACACATCATTGTGTTGTAAATTGGGTATACCATGTAAGCCACCAATGCCCATAAAATTTCCCAAAGCGTTCAATGGATTAGTTGTAAATTGATGATGATGACTAAAATATTTTAAAATTTTTGTGCTCTAGACTGTGCTCAAATTGTTTAATGTTAATGTACATATACCTTAATTGCATTTCAGCTTGAGATTCTGGACTACGACCAATACCAATTCCTCCAATACCACCACTACCACCACCGCTAAAACTCATATCACCACCGTTACTTGTTATAGTATGATTTAAACGTGCTGTCCGATTGACATGATCCCCTTCAATAGAATCACATTCACGCATTTCATCATCGGAATGATCTTCATGTGACTAAAAAGAACAAACGCATAGAGAAGAAATGCATTAAATTTACAAAAAAAAAAAAAAAAAAAATTAAAAGTGAAAAATAACAACAAATATAGTTAAAATTAATTGCAACATTTGCTGCAACAAGCAAACACATTACGACAAAAATCAATTCAAAACTTTTACGATGCAGCATGCGCCACAAAATCAGAAGAAGAAAAAAGAAATATCGATCGATGATGTTGTCATGAAATCAACCATGAGAGTACGCCTGTGACAATCAGGCAATCAGGGACGTTAACGTATGCGGTTTGGTCCGTACACTCACAGCTCTGCCTGCGACCAACACATCACATGCTGCGTGGCCACGATCACCACAAATATTTCAACTCTTATAACAATGAATTAAAACGTGATTTTTGCAAAAATTGCCAGCAATTACGTATCGGACGCAATATACTTCTGTCTGTGCACTCCTAGAGCTTATGAGTTATGTCCAATAATTTGCTATAAAATATCGAACGATTGATACGCGACATGTAAATTATTAACGTTCCTTTGAAGAAAAATACTAAAACAAGTAGAAATAGAGTTTTTCCAATTGCAATGGGAACAAAATTAAATAAAAATCCACATTAAATAAGTATCGTATATGCGTAACAAATAGGGATTAGAGTTCTCAGCATTTTACGAGGGTAACGAACTCAGAAATCGAAATAAATGCATTTATTTACTAAAACTGGATAAACTATATTTATTACAGCAAAATATATTTTAAACTTATAAAAAAATTTTAAATAAACTACACTTTTAATTATAGTCGGTAAAGCGATGTATAACCAACAAGCCCCAAAAATGGAGATATTCTAACCATGAGTCATCGCATAAACTGCTACAACAACCCAACGAACGACATCAGCTTTTCAACGCAATCAAAAACACCTACCCAAAAACATATTAAATAAAATTTATATATAGATCTTAACATCTATATAAGCAGAGAGCGGAGGACCTAGTACTCTAGTTCCTAATTTTTAGGTAACTTTAAAACTAATTTTAATGTTAACTCACAAATAAATAAATAAATAATTATATTCAATAAAAGAAACTACTGAGGAATCCTACCGACTACAGATCTGGTCTTCAGGGAAAAATGAGTATTACTCTAGGATGCAGAGTTTAAACGGGGCGGCAATTTTTAGTTGTTTACTAAATAAATTTGGTTCTGTATATAATTAAAAGTCTTTAAATTATAGAAGTTTCTATAGTCTTCAATTGTTGAAGCGTACCGTATGTTTTAAAACGGCCAGGTTGTAATTTTACAACCTTTACGGATTAAAAATATATATTAGGGTATATATTATATTATAGCAACTTATAAGTAATAAATAAATACTTATAATTTCAAGGAATTCAGTTAATTTCATGTTATATATTCATATTGTATATAATTTAGATTTCAGTTAATAATTTCAGTTCATTATTATTTAATACATATAAATAATAATACTGTCCACTAAAACCTTCATTACTTAAAAGAATACTAGCATAATTTATCGGTTAATATGCGTCCTAACTTATCTTATTTTTAAAAAATTTGATTGCAGTCAAAGAAATCTAAAAGATAATAAGACTAAACCTATAAAATTCAGACATAAAAGGATGTCTGGGTATTTAAGGGAACGATAAACGATATGATAACCTAATGTTAACGAGGACGCTAAATGTCTTAATATCATTAACTGAAAAACATGTTTCTTAGATCGAAAAAAATACAGACAGGTGATAAAAGAAAACCAGGTTCACATTGGACGGTGAAACCAAATTATTAACTTTATCATTAAATTATGATAATATATGCGTTTGATAGGTCAAACAGAAATTTTATCCGATAAGAACCAGACATCCAGAGAGACCTATAGCAATATGGAAAGTCATCCAGGGAGACCAAAGGTAATATAAAAGACGGTATATATTAGCACGTCAGAATTTTTAACAAACTATTTTGTACTAACTGTAAGACATTATCGCCAATTCGAACGAAATAAGACCAAGTTGTAAATGAAGTCTAAGTTACTAGACAACTTTAATGATAAAGAAATTATTAAAAAAACATGAAGCTTTAATGAAATAAACGAAGATACGAAATAACTTTTATAACGAAATTTTATTTAAATAAGATAAAATAGAAAAACAATTTTATTTTTCCATCTAAAATCTGAATAGGAATCTCTTACAACACTCACTCTCACAACTGTAATCATCGATAAGAAAAGGAAACTATTATCCAATTTCTCTATGAATATCTTGCTGTTTGAAAGAAGATTAATTTTACCAAAAGCTCTTCAATAAACTCAGAGAACTAGGGGATGTTAATCTTACCGTCCTACAAAAGAGAGATATTTTGTCAAGATCTTTTGTATTGAATTTATATGTATGATTGGTTGGTTGAATACAGTGACAGGTCATCAAATAAGTTTCCATATAACTCAATTAGCAATTTTTTACCGTTTTGTTACCACATTCCTCGCACGACCCCCTAAGATATAGACAAAATCCATTCCGTTGAATTTAGATCATTTCATAGGTCTTTCGGCTTTACCGTTGAACAGTCTGATACGTTGTCAAAGACTGTTCTGATAAGTTGTAAAAATGTTTAATGGTTTCTTTTCTCACAGGTTTCCACAATTTCTCCAGTGAGAATTAGGAGATATGTACTGCTTCTTTGAAGCTATATGAGTAACTAATAACTTTATTCAACTCTCTCAACTGGATGTATTATATAAAATTAAGATCAAAAAAGAGTACAAGTTTATATGGTTGTATTTTAGCGAACATTTGTGAAACGTAGTAAATTCTATTGTTTATCATTTTCAAGTACTATACGCTCTCAGAATAAGAGGAGATATATTGTCAAGGCCTTTTGTATTTTAGAGTTATTTTATATACAACAGTTATTATTTGTACAATAGACACTTGGTTTAACAAATAACTAATGTAACGAACCCTCTATTATTATTATTATTAAAATTATTGATGTGAAATCGTCCAATAGACGGTAATGCGACCAGAAGAATTCTATTATACCAATTTCACTATTGATTAAACAAGACCCTTTAAAGCTTTCAGAACAAAGTGCAGAACTAAATCTAGAGAAGAGCTCTTAATCTATTCTGGTAACAGAAATAACGAACCGTCTAAAAAAGACGAATATTTGATAGTTCTTAAATATGATAGATAAAACACCCTATAAATAAGGAACTATCAAATTCTGGTAAATAACAATCACACTGAAAATGTTACAATATTTATCTGCTATTCGTTTAACCAGGAGCCTAGTATACTTCCTTTTCTAGTATGTCTACGTCGTGTGCTTCCTTTTAAAACCAATTTACAAATACCATAAATAGTAATGCAATACATAAATTGTGTACAGTATTTAATTTTAAGAAATTTTTACCTATATCATTATTTAATTATATATATTTTATAAAAAAAAAGCAGATCTATTTATGTGAGTATAAATAGTTAAGAAATATAAGACAAGTCTTATTGGTCCGTTTGGTTGGCAAAAAAAAAATAAATTTCCACAAAGTCTGGCATCAATTAAAAGTTTTATATTTTTCAAGTGGTAAAAATGAAGCGCAACTGTGTCTATTACGAATCGGGAATTTTCAATTTAAACACAAAAGCTGCATTAAAGCAGACATTAATGCAACATTTATCGCCGTCTTCAATGCATTTCCAGGAATACTTTGAAGTTGGCGCAAGCGTACTCTCATTACAAATCAGTGGATGTGTATGATTGCGAACAGCATTGATACGATAGGTGCGGTGCAGTCGATGATTCCGTGGACATTGTGCAGAACATACATAAATGCCGCAGCGATAGCAAGAGCCGGTACTGATATCCAGCAATGTGAGAGCGCTACTTTGTTCGCACACAGTTAAAACCGAGAAACCGAGTCCAGTTTTTTTTTTTTTTGTTTTACTTTTCTTTTTTGCCGCTTGGTTACTGTTGCTCTTCTTATTGTTATTATTATTGTTGTTGTTGTTGTTGTTATTGTTGTTGTTGTGTCGTATGGAAGAAGAAACATTTTGCATGGTCACGGATGCTACGCCAGCCGTGAATTAACTTGGCAAAGGTTTACAGATCTAAAAGTGCTTTAGTGGAGACATAAAATGGTACTAAAATAGTGCTAGTGCAGCAAGTAAGCGAACAAGCAGGCAGGCAGGCAGGCAAGCAAGCAATTGCTAATGAAAATGTCAAATCAACTGAGTTAGTTGGAGAGCAAAATATGGCCTAAACATATAGTCATATAACAATACGACTATATATATGAGTAAAATAATGAGAAGACAACAAAACAAAACATTTATGATATTGTAATATTTTTTTAAATTAAATATATTTAATATGCAGGCTCATGCCTTGCATTTTATTTACTGTGCGTTAATGTACGTGCAGGTAATTAGTTTTTTATTACACTTAAAATATACTACTTAGGCTTACGATTATGTATGCGTATATGCGTAAGTATGTAGGTACGTAAATATCTATGATATGTATATAAAAGTATAATGTGGCACATATTACAATTATTTAGAAAACACAACATATTATGTAGATTAAATATAAAAAAAAACAATAAAAATGGATAAGCAAAAAAAGATATTTGGAAAAAACCCATAATTACTGTATACCGATTTCTATATAAATTTAGATATTTTTAATGTAAAAAAGCAATTACGATAAATCAATGTAGGTATGAAATAATTTTTATACAAAATAGTAAAGTTTGCATATTATAGTATATATGTTAAATGAAATGAAGAATAGAATAAAATAATTTTATCACACAACTATAAAGACATATGTATACATATATATATATATATATCTAGTAATAGTAGGTCTCAGTCCCCGCAGTTTTATATATGTATATGTGTACTGACAATTTACGATATTTAATTTAATTGTGCAGGTAGGAAAATGGCTGAAATGAAGCGATATCAATAGTAAC